GAATGATGAGGTGTTCGTTTCCATGAGCCGGGAATTTGGAGAACATAACCATCATGTGGGGTTTGAAGACACAGCAGGTCATTGGACGTTTTCTCAAGTATACCACACGTTCCTTTTCCTTCTTTTGTGCATTCCCCCCACCCCGGATGCTACTTTCATTCCTACTGCTATTCCCCGAATTGAACAATCCCAATTGAGCATTGCATTAATAATCTCTTTTTTTGTTTATTTTTAAGTGATTTATATATTTTTATTTTATGTACATTGTTGTTTTTACTGCATATATGTCTGCGTGAGTGTATTGAATGCCCTGGAACTGAAGTTACAGGCGTTTTTTTTTTCAAATTATTTTTATTTTTTTTTAATAGTATATTTTTTATTTGACAAACCACTGCCAGCTCCCCCTCCCTCCCCTCCTCCCACTCCCCCCACCCTTCCCCGACCCCACCCACCAGCCCCTCCCGCAGACAGTCTTGAGCTGCCATGTGGGTGCTGGGAATTGAACCCGGCTCCTTTGGAAGAGCAGTAACTAGTACTCTTAAATGCTGAGCCATCTCTCCAGGCTCTAACACTCTCTTTCTGATTGGTTACTGTGAGCCCTCTGACACTCAAATCTCCACTTTACAGGAGAGACAAAGCAGAAGACATAAGAGATCCAGTAATCGCAGGGGGCAAGAGGCAGATCCCATGGAGAGAACTGGCCCAAGTGTCAGTCGGAAGAACCCGTTCCCAAGCCCTGTATGCAGCAGCAACACTCCACACAGCTCCCTCTTCCTCACAGTCGATGTGTCCACACACACCCTGTGCTTATTTTTGTATATTTACTCTTCAAAATAATTCAGGTTTTTTTTCTTGAATAAATTTATCATAAAGGTATTTTATACCATTACTTTAATGACACAGCATCTCACTTGGCAGTCATAAGGGTTATAGCTAAAGACAGCCCAGAATACAACCGTGTAGAATTGTAACTATATTATTAATGGGGCAAAGGAAATAAGGAGGAAACCTGTTCTCTTTTATTAGAAAAGAGAAATGGCAATTTCAGGGGGTGCCAACAGCACAGAAAGACTACACAGAAGCGAGTCTGAGAGCCGCTGTCTCCAGCGTCATATACCACTGAGAATTTTCCTTCGTGTGGGTCACCGCTGTGGTTCAGTCTGAGACCCTGCAGCCCCGGATGTGGCCACAGCAGATACCACTGTCTCCAGAAGGACAACAGATGCTTCTTTCCCCGGACAGCCAACCCCACCCAGGGTATTAAGTCTCAAACACTTCAGGGCGTTTTGCTTTGCCACCAAATGCCCCACACTCTTCCATTTTCACGGTAGAACGCAGCACACATGGAATTTAAGCACAGATTTAGCAAATTTTCTGAAAGACTATTCCGTTCACTCCAGAAACATTGTCAGCGTAATTAAATTTTAGATAATGAATCAGGGAAGTTGATCTCAGCCGTGGAAAATTCTGTGATTTAAATTGCCAATATACAGATACTTTCAGTATTTGAAAGCCACTGCCAACTGTGCCTGCCGGAAGTTAAATTCTCAATAGCTTGCTATGATTGATGCAAGCATTAGTCATTAAAATAAAAAAAAAAAAAATCTTGAACTAAGTAATTTGCATCCAAAGGATGACATCAGCAACACCATGGGGTTGTTGTTTTGGAGACTGGTCACTAGATGGCGCACTTGCAATTCAAAAACTTTAAAAAAAAATTAAAGAAAAAAAGAAAAGAAAAGAAAGAAAGCAATCTCAGCCTCTGAGGAACAAGCCCGTTACCAAAGCATCTATTGTACTTACAAAGCTGCATGCGCACAAGCAAGAAGGCACCACTTGCTCAGAATATGGTATTCTTTTCTTTCCTCCCAGACTTTGATACGACTCTCTCTCTCTCCCCAGGACAGGTCACTTCTCCCCACAGGCACTGTTTCTGAGTGAGTTCACCTTTTGAAACTTCCTCTAGTCCTAGCTTTGCGACGGAACAGAAAAATGTGTTCCTTAAGATGTGGCTTGTTTCTTCCTCTGGCCTTGACGGCCCTCGCTCCTGCAAACTAAGGCCGTGCATCTTCTAGCCGCGTTCCGGATGCTAATCCAAGGCGGTCTGCAAAAGCCCCGTTGATTTGTGGAGCGGTCTCACTCCTCCATGAATTATATGCCATCTTTATTCTCCCTTATGATGGCAGCTATAAATCGTCTTGTAAAATTTTTTTTCCTAAAGAAAGTCTGTATCAATGGAGTGGTTGTTCTTGTAGCAACTCTTTAAATATGGTCATAATGAATAAATACATGGGTCCAGTTCTCAGAGTGAGAACAGGAAGTCGGAACGACACCTGTGTGTGGTCGATTCTAAAACAATAGAATACATTGAGACTTCTGCAGCAAATCAATGAGTTTATTTGCAAGTTCTAATCCAGGGCTAGCCCATTCCCCCACGACTAATGGTGTGTGTGTGTGTGTATATGTGTGTGTGTGTGTGTGTGTGTATGCGCGCGCGCCCGCCCGCGCGCGCATTTGTGTGTGTGTGTGGGAGGGGTGTGGAACTGAACTAAAACATTAACTTATTTTGTTTCTACACTAATAAGTGTTTCAACAAGAACTCTCTGTGGCTAAGGCTCCCTGGCTGTAGCCACAGAACCTAGGCACCTGGAGTTCTGTCCCCAAGTGGCCTCTCCTAATTTGCTAAATAACCTTGGGCAAGTCATGTAACCTTCCCAAACGCTGGCTTTTCCTTCTACAAAGGAAGATTCCAAAAGCTGTCTGCTCTCTGCTTCTCAGGGACATCCTGAGGATTAATGACGAGAGAAAAGTATCTAGGGGTCCACCCCAGCTCTCAGAGAGGTGCTGCTAGCTCTCAGATGAGAATTCTAAAAACAAATAAAATCAATCCCCACTGGCAATCCAAGTAGAAGTCACAGGGCTTGACTTTCCCTGGGTGTCTGTACTTTCCATTCCTCAAAGATGGTTAGAGTGGGAAAACCAACAACAACAGCAACAACGACACAACAACAAAAACAAAAAACTACCACCACTACCAAACAACAACAACAAAAAACCTGCACCACCACCAATAACAACAAAAATCCAAAACAAAAAAAACCTACCACCACCAACAACAGAAAAAAATGCCTTTGTTTGTCAAATTCCCACTGGATATTTTTTAATCCTATTATTCTGTGTCTATAAGGGAAGAGATTAAATATCCTAAAGAACTGAAATTGGAAACAAACAAACAGACAAACTCTGGTTCTGTCCCGAGACACCGGGTATTCTTGTCTAGCCCGTCATCACAGAGGGCAGGAGCTCCTGGGACAATTAGCTTTCTATTTTGCTGACAGTAATTATCACCATTTGGGACTTCACTGTCCCTCTAGGATGAAATATATATTCATGTTGCAGAGACCCAATCTCAAGACTTTTTGGGCAGAACCCCAAATGCAAGGAAATGATCGATTTTAACCTATTTTAAAACATTTGATCTAATTTGCTATTTCTAGTTTTCAACAGCTTCCAGCAAATGGATGACAATAAAGGTCTTGTCACATGTTGTGCTATGGACTAGACCTCTGGTTTTCAAAGGCTCCGGAAACCAGGAGGAGAATCCTCTATTAGTGCTGTCTGATGCCTCAGGATTTTCCAGCTGTCATTGTTCAAAGGTCCATTTTTTTCTGGAGCCTTGTGGAATGACCGAGTGGATTATTTGTTCTAACACACAGTAAGTGATCTGTGTCTCAGGGTCCTTTGGCTGTAATGATAAAAAGGGGTGGGACACAGCGGGGAGCCGTGGGCCTTCCTCGGGTATTTGTGGGGTGTGTATGAGACTCTGCGCTTCCCAGGTAGACATCCAGTGCTGAGACTTGAAGAGAAGGAAGAAGAAGAAATGGTCAGGATTATTCCGCTGCCTCTTTCTCTCCTGAAGTCTAATTATTATAGTGGCCTGCTGCCTTGATTAAGGCTTCCCTCCCTAAATAATTAATTTGCCTTTATACAAGTGTGTTTGCCTCTTACAAATCTTAACACATAGCACTGAGGACCCAGGCTCAGGAAATGCACTTTCAGGCATATAAATAATTGCCTTGGAGTAATTAACAATTAACCTTGGTAAAAGAAGGGCTAAACATTAGTATACTATATTAATTCAACACAGATATTAGCTATTTAGTGTTGGAAATGTTATAAGCACATATAACCATTCATAGACTCACATGGTTACTGAGTTCAGTTATCTGGGATAAGCTCGGTAATGCAGAGGAATGTTTAATGTGGAATATTTAACCTCTTTGCTTCAATCCATTTCACAAGCATGTGTCGACCCCACATTTTTTTTTCCTTGAAAGCAGAGTTAAGAATAGAGCCTGAGAATATAAAGAGATTCGGAATTCCTTGATGTACCTATCTGTAGCAAAACCAAATAAAACCAATCAACATTCATGGGCTAACACAGTGAGTGGGCTGTATCTTCCTCCTAAGTCAAGACCTGAGACTTGAAATACAGATCAGCACAATCCCGTCCCATGGGCTTCTGGGTAAGTGACAGGTGGGCAGGGTTATTATTTATAAGGGAATTTGCTAAGAAGAATCTTGGGTTTTCTATTCTTTGTCTCTCAAAACCACTATTCATTCTGGGTAGCAAGCAGGGTTCTAATACCGTGTTCACACTCCCCACTTTCTGAGCGGCTACAGCCAAACGTCACAGTCTCATTCCTGTTCTCATCTCTCCCAGCTCGGCCAACAGTTCCTGGGACAGCAGGGCTGAAGAAGAGGGGTCACGAGTGAGCCTCCATCTCCTGAGTTTGGACCCTAGGAGCTCCTTGTGGTCCGCATCACAATGGCTCATACCAGTTTCTTCTGGTCAAATTATGACTCCCAAACCTGCCTACCCTTGGCTCATCCTCACCCACCCTCTCCTGTGTTGAAGTTCAGTTTCCTGAGGACCTCCTTTCCCAGGTCGCTGGCGGGGGAGGGGGAGGACCGGGAACTGGGACGGGGACGGGGTGAAGGCATTACCTAGTGGAAGCAGATTAGACCTGCATGCTGGAACAAACAATTTCCATTCACCTCTGCTATGCCGATAGAACTCACCTTTCTTCCAACCACCAATCAGGCATTGGTGCTGGACCTTCCCTACAAGCTCCTGTTCCCAAAGCCATACTGACTCTGTGAGATCTCCATAGCATACGACCTTCCTTTCCGAACTGGCAAAGCACAGTCAGGTGATGATGCTTCCTTGAGCCTCACTTTCTTTCTGGTAGTCCTGGGTAGATTTGGTTTTGTTTGTTTGTTTTGTTTCCGTTTGTTTTGTTACTGCTGATGTTGCCCCTTCGAACTGAAGCCCCAGAGGAAATTGTACCAGGGAGAATCTGCAGACTTGGTCTCTGAAACAGCCCGCATGGGCTTTCCTCCTGCCACCAGCTGAAATCCTTGAGGACGGCATCCGGGCCGTCAAGGTAGACAGCGATGCCGACGGAACACATCGTGCTGGACACATTTCCTCGGGCTCTGCGATTTTTCAACGGGTCACTTTTCAGGAAACAATTGTTTTAGGATTTTTGGTAAATTCACTACTGTTCTAAATTGCTTTTATCCGTTCTTTTGTCAAGAGCGGAGCAAGGAGAGAGGCTGAATACATTTCTCCTGGATGAGTTATACCCAGAAGTGATTACTTCCAGCAAGACAAAGGACACAGAGGGAGAGCCGCGATCATCACTGATAAGAAATAATGATTTTGTGCTGTTATTAGTCCGCTTTTTGTCGATTTAACGAAAATACTTGAGGCTGGGTAGTTATAAAGAAAAAGAAATGTTTGTTTTAGCTCACAGCTTTCAGGGCTGAGTTTCCAGGATTCAGTGGACCCGTCTTGCCAGGCTTCAGGGGGGTCTCCATGGTTGTATCATGGCATATTGGAGAAGTCAGAAGAGAAATGGCTACATGCAAAAGAGAGATGGCCTGGTATGGCTTTGTTCTATAACAACTCGGTCTTACAAGAACTGGAGTCCTATAAAAAAAATGCACAAATCCCTTCTGAAGTCAGCACCCCAATTGTCTAACCACCTTCCACTGGCCCCCACCTCTTAAAGGTCCCGCCTCCCCACACCATCAGCCTATCACAAGTCTTCCATGCAGACTTTCAGGGAACACGCCCGAAGCACAGTCAAAAGGTAGCCAGTACCTGAGTCGTTAGACGCCAAAGAAATGGGCACAAAGGGCAGACAGCAACAGCCCAGGGTCTTTGGGGACTTTGTAAAGGGATTCTGCTAAGGGAGATGAGTCCATAATAAGATACAAAAAAGAGAAAGGAGAAGTCAGAGTCTTCAGATGCATTCTTTCAGGTTGTCCTTGAACACACGAACCCGCGGAAGAAGGGAAGAGGTGGAGGGCGTGGAGCCACAGCGAACTGCTGGCCTCTGGGTAATGTGAAATAAAAATGCATGGGCTGTCTATTCACTTCCTTTTTTTTTTTTTTGCCAGATTGCATGTTTGAAATTTCCTTTTTATTTATCTATTTATTTATTTTTGATCTTCCAGTGGTCCTGGGGGAAACACTTATGAGGCAGAGGAGATGTTTGCAAACTTTTTTAAAATACATTTCATTAAAACATAAATATGACAGAGTAGGTTGTAGACCAGATCAGTCACAATGTAATTAGCCAAGCAAATCCACCTTTCCTTCTGTCATGATTATAGTGAGGTCATTAACCTTAATTTTTCTATCAGTAAATTGCAAATGCTTCATTTTCCCCTCTCGCCGAGCTGGTTTTGAAAGGGCTTTGAGCGTCTCTAGAACTCTGTGCTGTATTATAAGAAGATTTACAGCTCTGTGCGTTTTGCACTGTGATAGAAAGTTCCTGCTCCACATCATCATTATTCTGAAATCTTCAGGTCTTTGCAATAATTCAAAGCTTTGACAATGAAGGATTTAGCCAAAGAATCTGGCATATTGCTCTGCTCTTATTCTAGGTAAGGTTTTGAAATTAATCCAATTGAAATTTTAGGAAACAGTGCCTGTATTTTTTTTTCCCAGTCCACGGGCTATTATTAAACTTTTCTACTTCTGGGTGTTTCTTAACCCTCTGTGGATATTTAAAAACACGCACTATGGTTTCTCCTAAGTAGGTTTCTGTGGCCTGTATTAATGTTAGTCTCCTTGGCTAGGGGCCAACCAATGTTTGACAACAGCACACGGAGCTGAAAGGCCAGCTTCACCATGGTCATTGTGCACACAGTTGCAGCACGTTGCTTTTCAAAGTTTAAGTCACTTTCACCTGAAGGAGTAGCTGAATCTCAGCATTTTTTAAAAAATATTTATTTATTTATTATGTATACAATATTCTGTAGGCCAGAAGAAGGCACCTCATTAAAGATGGTTGTGAGCCACCATGATGTTGCCGGGAATTGAACTCAGGACCTTTGGAAGAGCAGGCAATGCTCTTAACCACTGAGCCATCTCCCCAGCCCCCTCTCAGCAATTTCTTTAGCTCGTCCTAGGGCGGTTTCCTGTGGCGTCCCTAAATGTGACCAAATCCTTAGGAAATGCACTCATTTCCCATCAGAAAAGAGTTTTGAGCCTGTAGTTCTGAAACACAATCTCATGATTATACTGATTACAAAACCGGTTGAAGAAATACTTTTTTAAAAAAATTGTAATATTGGGGGAAGGGAAAGAACATTTATTAAACATGTGCTATGAACATGGTGCAGCAGGTTGAATTGTCCCTTAAAAGGCACGTTCAGATTCTAACTCCCTGGTGTCTGTAAATGGAATCATATTTGGAATTTTTCAGAAGTGACGAAGTTAAGGTGGGACCATAATGAATGAGGTTGTGGACCAAATCCAATGACCGGCATCTTTATAAGACAGAGGGAGAAGAGTGAATATCGGGTACACTACAGAAAGGGCTCATGGGAGGATACTAGCTAGAGACTGAAGACACTCAGTCTTAGAAACAAACTCCAGACTTCTAGTAACTAATGTAACTTGGCAGAGAGGCATGGACCGGGGTCTTCCCAGGAGTGCCAAGGAGGAAACAGCCCTGACTTTGGACTTGGAGCTTTCTGAACTATGAGTGAGTAGATTTCTGTTGTGGGGGGGGGGGGCAGTCACAGAGTTGTGTTAGTCTGTTTTTAGCGGGCCTAGGAAATCAGTGTACATGGACTTTCAGATATCACCTCTGCTCCACATATAAGATCCTGTGACCCAGATCATCAGTGATGGCACCTGGATCCGAAGCCAGGCCTGGAAACGGCCTCCCTCACTCCACCTTGTTTTGCGGCAAGCTCTCTCCTTCCTTCTGCTGTGCTACAGATTCTGTCTCTGTAGAGTCTTTGGAAGTTCTTGGAGCCGTGCGCTACGCATCTGGCTTTTAAATGGGTTGCAGTGATCCAACTCAAATGGTCAGGCTTCTGCCACTATGACTTAACTGGCTGAGCCATCTCCCGGCCCCAGTGTGCTGTTCTTAGTACTTGGAATGCAAAGACCCTGTGGATTACCACCTCCTAACTGGCTGGAGGGTGTCTCTTAATACAAGTGATGTGAAGATATGCATGAATCAGCTAAGTGTTTGGAACATACCGAGCTACACTAATTGTATTTTCCATCTTGTTGAGACCGCTAAGATGTTTGCGTCTACCGCTGACCCTGTAATATAATCAAACTTCTAGGACAAACACTAGATCCAAAGAAAACTATCCTTATGTTTAGATGTGAGTGATTTTGGTTTTAAGTCGATCCTAGTTTCCCCAGAGGATTTAAGTTTTGTTTCTTAAAACCTACATAAAAGGGCTTTTGTGACCTATATGCATGATGTCAGCTCATAAACATAAAATAACAAAAGGATGAGAATCATTTTATGTTCCCAGATTAAAAAAAAAAATTAAAGCACTTGATAAACCTGGTTTTCTAGGTGCATAAATTGTTACTGGAAATGACTGTTTTTATCTAAGTAAGTGGGTCAGTGCATAAGAGTACGGTGCACACAGGTTGTGAAGGAAACACAAATAGAATTGGTGCTTTTGGAGAATGGAGGATTACACAGAAGGGCACATGAGGCTGGAATTTTCTTACCTTGGGCAGCAGCCAGGACATGGCATAGGAGGATGGCCCACAGAGAGCCCCCTCAATTACCTTGAGGACTCTAAGAAAAGCAGGGCCTGCCTTACGCGTTGGTGAGACTGAGAAGGAACAAGAATGCTTGGTCTAGATATATTCCCAGTCCTGAAAGCCTAGGACAAGAGCTAATCAGTAGTGGCTTCCTTTTCAAGATCAGCATTACCAAGGATCTTCAGAGAGCATATATCATAGTGAGACCAGCTCAGTAAGCTGTACCTCCTAGCATAGGCTCCAGCCACTAGGAGGCAGGTGGATGACTAAAAAGGAGTCTCCTAACAGAGGGGCCCTTGCTTGAAGACTCTCAGGATCCACAATATAGGTGTCCTGGGCTTGTTGGGGTCATGGGGCCCTTTAGATTTATCCCAAGCCCAGACGGCTATATGTACTGTAGACTGTCTCCTGACACTTTGGGACACACCGCCTTTCTCACAGCTCTGCTTGTTCTGTGATCTTCACGCACATTCCAGAGCTCAAGTCCAAGGGTAGACTGTAGTCTGACCTTTGGCTAGCAGCCTACGAACCAGGCCCTAGCATTCTGAGCTGAGCACCAATGAAGCCTTAGATGATGCAAGCGCCATGGGCAGAAGTGAGAGCAGTGACTCCAGAGCTCTGGGAAGAGCATCTGGGGACTACCTTAGAACCGTGGCTTGCGTGATCTTGTAAATGAATATCCTGCCCTCATTCCTACCTCTTACCGCTAACCCAACTCCTGGTCTCGCCCTTCCCAAGGGGCACACAGTGATTCCCGCACCCTTCACAGCAACCTTGCCAGACAAAGAGCTCCTGGAGAACTCCGCCCTCTTAGTTCTGAAGCGTTTATCTAATTACTCTTTATCAATAAAAACCCAGGAGTCAGATATGAGGTTAAGAAACTGAATGATCAGAGAAGTAAGTGGTGGAGACTCCACCAGCAACCTCATCTCTCTCCCATTCCTCGATCCCTAAAGGCCAACACTCTAAGCCCCGCCCTACTACTTCCTGTGCCTTTTTGTCTGTCCTTGAGCCTCTAAAACCTCACTGGCTACTTTTGGTCAGCTAGTAGCTAGTTCCGTCCTCTGATTCAAAGCAAACTTTATTGTCAGTCTCATCTCAGGAGCGTGAGAACACGAACACTGGGTAGGTTGGCTTGCTTCAAAGAAGTGGGCGGGCACTATTGCTTGTGCCGTTTGCTTCTTCAATGTTTACGCCTTCTTTGGGGTAGCTTTCCGTGTCCACTTGCTTTTTGCCTCCGGCGTTTTGATTTGGAAATAAACATTTACATTTCAGAGAGGTAAAGAATAACAACTCAGCACACACCTTGTGCTCATTTCAAAGCCTTAATGAGCACCTGCACTTCGCCGAGCTCCTGCGTGTTTTCTAATAGTTTTGATGGGATATAATTCACGTACTTCAACCATTTAAAGGGTCGGAGTTGGGAGGCACAGAGGAGGTGCACACCTATAGACCAATATATAGGAGCTAAGGGGGGAGTCTGAGGACAGTTGGGCCGTATAGGCAGTCCCCATCACAAACTAAGCAAAACAAGGAACAAAATAGACCACACATGGTGGGTTTGGCATATTGCCTTGGATTGTTGTTGTTCCTCGGTTTTGTTGTTGTGGTTATTTATTTTGAGACACATCTCCTATCG